CTCAGTTGTAATCCCCATGGTTTTCCCATCACCAAATCACCCGTGTGCCATCACCACAGTCCAGTGCACTTCCCTCCCCCCATTGTTTTTGATCCCATTCCCCCCCACTCCACACCCATAAAATGTCTCTGGTATATAGCTGTTCATTATTATTATTATTATTTTCTTTTAAAGATTTATTTTCATTTATGCTTAAAAGAACTGGAGTCTGCTCCAGAGGTGCAGGAAAGGGATGAGAGGTTTCATCAGAGACAGATTGGGGAGCAGAACAGGTAGCTCTACTGAAATCCACTGCTGAGGGCCCTCCGTGGTGCAAAGGGTAAATGCAGGCACTACAAAGTTTGATCCCTCACCAGGGCAGTGACCCACATGGTGCAACAGACCTCTCCTGTCTCATCTGCTGCTTTCCTCAGCAATGGACTTTGTGGATATGCCTGTTCTGCTCCACTCTGTCTCTGGTGAATTCTCTCACTGCTCCTGCACCACTGGCCTGTACCCCAATAAATATTTTTTTAGATTTTTGTTTATTTATGCATATAGAACTGGGGTACAGGCCAGAGGTGCAGAGGTCTTAAGAGGATTCACTAGAGACAGAGCAGGGAGCAGAACAGGCATAACAATGAAGTAATTAATGGGAGAAGTGGATGGGCCAGGAGTGGCGTGCTGTGTGATGTGGACCACCTTCTGGGCCGGGGATTGAACTCACACTGAAATGGTCACAGCCAGCTTCACAATGATGAGCTCCAACCTGCTGCTACACCAGAGAGGGCCAATGAGTCTTTTTTAAAGAAATATACTGCTGAGGAGAGCAGTGGGCAAGACAGGAAAGGTCTGCTGCTGGGCCATGTGGGTCAGTCAGATCCCTGGCTGGGGAATCGAATTCATGCTGCAGTGGCTGGTGATAGTTTGATAGCACTGAGACTTGAACCCATGGGCAACCAGGAGCATTTTATTTTATTTAAAAAAAAGATTTATTTATTTATACATTTAGAACTGGGGTACAGGCCAGAGGCGCAGCAGCAGTGAGAGAATTCACCAGAGATAGAGTGGGGAGCAGAACAGGCAGATTGATGAAGTACACTACTGAGGGGAGCAGTGGGCGAGACAATGGAAGTCTGCTGCACCGTGTGGGTCAGCTCCCTGGTGTGGGGTTGAACTAGTGCTGAAGCAGCTGCAGCTGGTTTCATAGTGCTGCGCTTTAATCCATTGTGTCACCAGGGAGGGCCTACCAGGGGCATTTTAAAGATGGTAAAACTGATGTAAAGAGCTGGAACTACCCACCTGAGGCCTTGCAGCTCCTACAAAGCAGATGTGAAGCTAAGGATGGTAGCAGAGAGTGAGCATTTATTTGATCTTGGCCTGTCTTGTTTAGAGAGAAGCCAAAGGTGACAGTGGGAGCATTAGTAGCTTCAACGGCAGATGATGGATGCTGGCCTCAGCATGAGGTCACAAACACAAGGTGGTGACCCCTGGACCTCAGGCCTTAATTCTCCCCTCCTTGATACCTGAGTATTGTGAGGAGACTTCTGCTCCAACCTGGGTGTGAGTTCCACAGCTGGTCTGGAGTGGGGAGCAGGTGGCAATGTCCCTGCTTTCGGAGAACAGTAGCAGCTGTGGGCCAGATGGCAGCCAGGCCTGTGGACTCTGGGGCCCATCCTAAGGGCTCTGCCAAACCACAGGTCATCAGTACTGGATGAGGGAGTGCAGCAATTTTTATGGGCTTCCCAGGCTTCCACCTGCTCCGCCCTTCCAGGTACAGTAGCCACTTAGACTTGGCCCAAGAATCCCATAGAAGCTGCTGATGTTTTTCTGCCTCACACTGCAGGTCACTTGTCTCCTGTTGTTTCCACTAGTATCCTATCTAGGCCACCTCTCACTGTCCTCAGCCACACTCGGTGAGCCTAATCACTTGGCCTGAAAACTTTGTGCCTCCTAAGTGATGTCCCAAATTCAAGATATTGCCTCTAGTTGGTTACATCCCCTGTACTTACAAGATTCCTTTTTTTATTTTGTACAGAGGAAACATCTTCACGTTGGTCCAGAGACCATCATGTCCAGAGGCCTCTCACTCTCTCCCTCCACATATTTTCCTCCCCTCCTCCCTCACTTTTCCCAGTTAAGTATGTTCTTGCCCTAGGGCCTTTGCACTGACTGTCCTGGGCCACATAATTTTGGAAAACCCAGTGTGCCCATAGCACCATGTGTGTACAATGTGCACAAAGCCAGGGGCCCCACAGACCTCTTCTTGCTTATCTTTGGCTGTGAGTCTGTGTGTCTGACATGTGGGTCGAATCTGAGTGTTTATGAAGTGTGCGTGCATATGGATGCCATTGACTGCAGCCATATGTGTGGCGGGTGTGTGGGCTGTAGGTCTTTGCCGAATGAGTGGGTTTGGATGCCTGCATATGGTTCATATGGAACAAAGACCCGAGTGGTGGGGCTGAGCATGGGCGGGTGAGGGTGTGTGTACAGAGTGGCCAGAACTTGAACTACTTATACACACACACACACACACACACACTCACTCACTCACTCACTCACTCAACATTTATTGAGCATTTATTGTGTGCTGTAGAGGTCAGTATGACATCTTAGCTTCTGATATCTGTCAGCTTGCATAATGTTATTCCTTAGCATTTATTGAAAGGTTGATTACCTATTGTGTACCCAGTCCTCTGATGGAGATGGATCAATTGAATTGGTTCTACCTGCAGATGCCCACACAAGCAGGTCCTCAGCTCTCTCCTCTGAAGTCTCTAGCCCTACTTCCACCCCTTTTATTCATCACTGACTTGAGGGAGGGCTCTGAGCCCCATCTGGATCCCTGGGCCAATTTCAAGGGAGGTCTTTTCTGCTCAGTGGATGAAAAAATAAATGGGTTCAGACTGGAGAGATGATCCTGGGGATTTGGGCCCTTCCAGAGCAAAGATTCTAGAATTTCATGGCTTGGGGAGGGGGGAGGGATCCCCTTGAAAGCAACATGGGCCCTGGGCTCCATGAGATCCAGCATAGGAAAGGAGCAAAAGAGTGAGGAAAGGAAGCAAGTAAGCAAGCAAGAAAGGCATGAACAGATTAAAAAACAGGGACTCAGATGTAAGGCTTTGAGCCCTGACTGAAAATTTGGGTGGCTAGAGGTTGGGGACTCAAGGGGGTTGGGTCTGGTGGAATGTTTTGGGGGGTGTAAGTGTGTATTTGAAGATCTTTTGCAAGATCTTTTGCATGGGAGTTGGGATTTGAATAGAGGGTGGGGGAGATATTCTGAAGGCAGGGATTTTGAATGTGAGAACCAGAATTGCTGGGGAAACATCAGAATTGTTGGGGAAGCAGGAGGTTTGGGAATCTTGAGGGTGAATGATTGGGGTCAGAGGGTAGAGAGGTTTTTGACTCTGAGGGTGGAGGCTTGAGGAAGGGTATGCAGAGAAGGACTGGAAATCTGAGGCCTGGGATGGATAGCGGGATGCTTTTCCTAGTCTGAGGAGATCTTAGGGAGGAGGTGACCATGAGTGGGGGAAGGGAGGTTCTCAGAGCTCTTGGACCAGTTTTTTCACAACCCTCTTTCCATTTTGACCTTCCCTCTTCTTCCCAGAACTGACCTCACAACCCGGCTTGCCCCTACTTCTAGTCTCCCAGGCATACTCAACCCAGTCCTTACCTCGCCACCCCTCACCCCAGCCACTTGCCCAACGCTTTCGGCGGGTTTCACAAGACAAGGCCACTCCCCTCCCCAGGTAAGTCCCATCCCGAGTCTAGGCCACGCCCCTCTCCCGACGGTGCCCAGTCCCAAATCCTTGTCCTTCAATCCTCAACACCGCCTTATACCTGCCCTGTTCCTCCTTAGAACCCGTCCCTTCTCAGATCCCGCCCTTCCTCAGGCCAGACCGTAACCCTCCTTTCCCTCGGAAGTCATTTCTACCTTCTCCAGGCCCCGCCTCTCGACCACACCCAGCCATCGGTCTGACCCCGCCCACTTTCTCCTTTTCCAAAGTGTCTCGAGCTTCTCGCTCCCCGCGCGTTCTAAGGCCCCGCCCTCCCTCAGGCCTGTCCACGCCCACTGCCCCCAGTCCTCCCCGGTCTTCTCCCCTCCAACCAGTCCTGACCCCGCCCCTTCTCTCCCCTTAACAGCACTGGTGCCTGTCTTCGCCTGGCCCCGCCCCATCTCATACCCCGTCTCCTCCTCAGGCCCGGCCCCACCTCTCACCTACGCCCCGCCCCTCTCGGTGTAGGCCCCGCCCCGTATCCCCGCTTCCGCGTCTCCCCGGCGGTCGCGTGCGGCTCCGTCACTCCAACGCGCGGCGGCGGCGGGAAGATGGCGGAGTCCGGTGGTGGCAGTGCCGCTGGTGGCGGTGGCTTTGGTGCGGGCCCGGGCCCCGAGCGCCCAAACAGGTGAGACCCGGTCGGCAGGGTGGGCCTGCACCTGCCCCTGTGTGTGCGTAACCTGTAGGGAGTCCTGAAGGACTGGGGGGACTCTTGGGCCAGCCAAAGGGTCTCTACTGCGGACCATGGAACACGGGGGTCGGGGAGTGTACCGAAGGCTGTTGAGGCTATTGGGCTGAGGCTTCCAGGACTGGACGCGTCTGCTTGCACCCGTAGGATCCCGCGGGGGCTTAAAGGAACATGGAGGTCTGATGGGAAATCCAGGGACTTCTGACTGTGATTGGACCATAGGGTAACTGGAGATACCAAGGGGGTTGGGGGGAAGAGAAGGCCTGAAGAGAGGCTATGATAGTCTGTTGAAGCTGTCTTGGGGACTCTGGACAGTACTGAGGGACGGAGGGGGAGATTGGTTGGGCCGAGGTCCTGGGGGATGCTGAAAAGACCATGAAGTGACTAAAGATGGTCCTGAAGGTACGCTGAGGGGGCAGAAAATGAAGACTGTGGGAGGCTGGGGGTAGAGGACTCAGGTGACTCTGACTGTCCGAAGGAGGTCTAAGGGGCCTAGGAGAACCTGAGAGAGGGGAACTCAGGGGCCTGGGTGGGTTGGGGGTTGTCCCAGAGAGTATTGATGGACAGGGAGAAACCTGGGGAGATGAGGGGGTTCTTAAGAGGCTGAGGATGGTGAGATTTCCTTGATACAGAAAAGAAAACACTTAAAACCTTTGGGCTTTTCCCTCCCATCTCTATGGGGCTTGAATTCCTCCTCTCAGGCTAAGACTCCAAGAAAGGTCTCTTAGACCAAGGGGCAGAATTCAGCTCCTTTAGTCAGAGGGAGGCTCCTCTTGCTTTGGCCAAGTCCAGAGACTGGTTATTTGAATCCCAGAGTAAGAATTGTAGGTATTTATATGGCTTCTCCGAGGGAGAAGTCCTGCTGTAGGAGTATAAACTCTCTCCCTCTCTCCCTTTTTCATTGCCCAAGGCCATTTTGGCCCAGATCTTCCCATCCCAGCCCTCAGGACACCCCAATACCTCCTGGCTTTCTTAGGCTCTTCCTTGGTGAATTACTATGTTAGCAGATAATTTCACTGTGGTAGATGATAAAGTTAGTACTTGTGTGCTGTTTTGGGGACCTGGTCTGATATTAGCAGGGTGCCTGCATTAGGCTTTGGATGCCTGCAGTGGGGAACAAGGAAGGATTTAGAGGATTTGCAGAAATATTCAGGAAGTAGCATGGGTAGGACTTCTTGATAGGGCATGAAGTGGCACATTAGTGACAGACAGGAGGGGCCAGCAAACTTTAGATCCCTGCCTTGGGTCTTGGGTTGGGGTAAACTTGGGCAGGGGCAAGGTATGATTAATGTATATAATGCATTCATTTTAGCTGAGTGGTTCATTGAATTGTGATATATTTTTAGAATTTGCACCTATTGCAACAACCCAGTTTTTTAAGCATGCTTCTACTCTCCCCCTCAAAGCTCTCTTAATCCCTTTTTCAGTTGTCCTGTATCCATTCCTAGCCACACCCTGATCTGCTATCACCCTCTCTATAGTTTTGCCTTTTCTAGGAATTTTGTATGAATGGAATAATACAATGTGTAGCTTCTTATACATGGCATTTTCCCCTTAACAGAATATTCATGTTGTCATGAGTATCAGACTTCTTTTTTACCACATAGTAGTATTCTCTTTTATGGATGCAGTTTGTTTGTGCACTTACTGGTGAATAAAAACTTGAGTTGTTTTCTTTTTGACTTTTTTTTAAAACTTGCTTAAAACATCTTTATTCTTCAAACTCATGTCAAGTTACAAATAAATAGTCCATACCATGCAGTTATTTATGTAGCTTCTTCAGGCAGAAAGCAGCAGTTAGCAAGGATACATTGACAGTAAATAACTAGTGATAAGGATAGAAAGGGCACATTACATTTCTCTGTGATCCAAGATATGTGGTTTAAAAGTGGATCCCCTTTAAAATATCACACATGTGCATCATTTTCTTACAAAAGAACTCACACATTCTAGTTTTTCTTTAAAAAAAAAAATTACTCACATCACAGGAACTAATTGTTTACAAACTATAAAACCTTGTGTATTTCCAGGTTAGTCTTTTCAGTCAGTGCTACTCTGTCCTGTTGTCAGTAAAAACCTTGAGTGTAGTTTAAGCTCCAGTCCCAGCAGAGGTTGGGCTGGGGATCCTTTTTGACTTTTACAAATAAAATTGCCATGAACATCAGGGTGCATGTCTTCTTGTGGGTATACACTTGTACCCTCTTGGATAAACAGTTATGCACTGCATAAGGATGTATCAGTCAACAAGGGGCCACTTATAATTCCACTATAGCTTAAGATGTAGTAAGCTGTACCTACTGGGTTTGTGTAATTATGTGCTCTGATGTTTGCACAATGAAATCACCCAAGGATGCATTTCTCATAATGTATCCCTGTTAGCTGAATCATGACTATGTAGGAGTGGAATGACTGGTTCGTATAGTAGTAGGGGTTTAATTCTTTACGAGCCTGCCAAATTGTTTTCCAAAGTAATTGCACCTTTTTCATTCCTACCAGCAATAAAGGAAATTATAGAAGTCACTGATCATGCTAACACTTGATATGGCTAGTCTTCCATTTTAACTATTCTAAGTGTGTTGTTATCTTTTTTTTTTTTTAAAGATTTATTTATTTATGCATACAGAACTGGGGTATAGGCCAGAGGGGAGAGGATTCACCAGAGACAATGTGGGGAGCAAAACGTGCAGACTGACAAAGTACACTGCTGAGGGCAGCAGCGGGAAGACTGGAGAGGTCTGTTGTGCCATGTGGGTCAGCTACCTGGTTGGTAGCTACATTGAAGAGGCTGTGGCCAGCTTGCAGTCTGGGCTTTAACCTGCTGTGCCACAAGGAAAGACCTGTGTGTTGTTATCTTATCCAGATTTTAATTTATATTTCCCTCATAAATAATGCAATAAAATTTACCTGATTAATGGACTTTTTTTTTCATTGGCTTATTGGGTACTCACCTCTTTGATACAATTTCTTGAGATCATGCACATTTTTGGGGTATTTTTCCTTTATCTGTTTTTGCCCATTTTGACCTAGGTTATCTACTCATAGAGTTTTAAGACTCCTGTATGTATTCTAGACCAAATCCTTTGTCAGATATATAATTTACCAATAATTTCTCCCAGTTATTGCTTGTCTTTTTATTTCCCTAGGCTGTCATTCATAGGCAAAAGTTTATCATGTTGATGTGATCCAATTTGTCTTTTTTTTTTCTTTATGGATTATGTTTTTGGTGTCCTAGCTATGTGGGGAGAGGGTAGGATTCCCTACTATGATAGGATAGTGCATATAGAGAGAGGATCAAGTTTGGAGGGAGATTGTGGCAGATGATCTCCTGCAAGGATCTTTTTGAGATGGAGAAAACTTTGTATCTGACTTTGTTTACTGTCATTCTTCATTTATCCAAATCACTAGCCCGGTCTGGCATACAACCTGCCTGTGCTTTATTCCGCTTCACCCTGCCACTGTCTAAAGTCATCATCTCTTTGCCTGCCTGACCACTGAACTCAGCTAACTCTCAGACTACTTTTTCTGATCACTATTGATTGGCTTTCGAGGTAAAATTCATGCAACATAAAATTCACCTGTTTAATGTATACAGTTCAGTGGCATGTAGAATGTTTCACAGAGATGTGCAGCTATCTAGTTCCAGAATGTTTTCATCATCCCAAATTGAAATCCTCTCCCAGTTAGCAGTCACTCACCACTTGCCCTTCCGTTACCCCTAGGAACCATTTGTCTTTGTTTCCAGACACTTCCCTGTTTTGTAAATAAAATCATACATGGTGTGACCTTTTATGTTAGCCTTCTTTCACTTGTATGTTTTTGATGTTCATCCATGTTATAATGTGTGTTGGAACTTTATTCCTTTTCTGGCCAACTGCTATTCCTTAAGTGAACAGGCCACAGTCTCTCTTTCTGTTTACCAGCTGATGGACAGTTAGGCTTATTCACCCTTTCGGTGGTGGTGAACAGTGCTGCTCTGGACACTCATGTACAAGCCTTTGTACCTTTGTTCAGTTCCTTGGGATGCATTAAAGGGTGTAATTGCTAGGTTTTGTGGCGGTGTATGTCACTGATTGTGCTGTCACACCCAGCCTTATCGGGTGTTTCTTTGTGGACATGCTTTGAGGGTGGAGTGCATATCTGTCTGGATGCCTGGATCATGGACAGCTGAGATGATGACTGTTCTAGAAATATCAGAAAGGGCAAGAGAATAGTGAAAATAGGTGCTCTAGGGCTTGCAGTCTCCCTAATAGGAAGCCCCTTGAACTGCACTGGGGTGGGCTCTTGCCTTCTTGGGGAGATTTATGGGACTGCTGAGGGCCGGGGGAGGCCAACCTGTTTGTGTGACTGGTTTTCCAGCCTGCCATGCGACGCCTGTATCTGCCTTTTTGTCCCATAAAGCGTTCTGTCACTTGGCCAGGGCTGGGGGTGGTTCCTGTCTTCCCTTGGCTCTTCCAGCAGTCCCACAACTCAAGAAGTCCTCAGGAGGGATTGTACTCCCCCCACCGCCCCCAGTGTTATATAACTTGTTTGTTTCAACTTTTCTTTTCTGCAACCAAGGGGGAAAAAAAGAAAGAGAAAAGCTTATTCTGTTTCCTTTCTATCTCCAGGGATCAACAAAAACGGTTGCCTAGTAGAGATGGTCGTTAAGACAGAGGCGAACCTCCCGGGTGGACTGAGCGTGGCTGCCTCAACTAGGGGCTGTGCTGGGGGGTGGTCCTGGCTTTTGACTCACTCACACAAAAGACACTTGTTCTCTATCTAGCTGGTCTCTCCCAGCTTCACCTTGGGCTTCAGGCTTCTGGGGAACAGGTTTGCAGCCATATGGGGTATTGTGAGGGGATGTATAACTCTCCAGAGAGTCTCATCTTCCCAACTAAAATTCCGTCTTTATGAGGTACCTGGATGAGGATGTTCTGAGGAACCTGGCCACGGAGGCTTTT